GGGTTCGGGGAGAAGACACCCTGCATATACAGGTTCAGGGCAAAGTCCCAGTTTTCCAATGAAGAATGAACTTGTTAAGGGGAGACATGAGCCACATTGTAGGGTAAAGCAAAAGGGTTTCGGTAACATGAAGAAAATTTCAGCTGCTTGTGCAGCCCCATGGAAAATATTGCTCACGAAACAGTGCTGCAGATTCATCTCACCAAGCCCTGGGAATCCAGAGTGAATTCTCTGTTACTGGGTGAATTTGGTGAGACCTCAGACTAGAGCCATCATCAAATGCCACCTAATGTCACAATGCAAAGTGCATGTAATACTCCTGCATGGAGGGGGTTCACACATGGGATCAACAAAGTGAGTTTCAACTAGTGTTGATCCAAATTCTTGCAGGTTTAGGAATGTGTGTCACCATTTGCATGTTCAGTGCTGGAAAACCTTTAACTGAACAGCCAGGAAAATTGTCCCCCTATCAGAAGCATTTCGTTCTGTCTTGTTGCTTTTGTTTTCTTTTGCCTCGAAGACCTGCCTTGGTGGATTTGCACTTGCCTTTTCTCCTTCTTCTTTCTTGTTCCGGGGCTCAGATGCAAAGTAGTTGAAATTTAGAGGTGGGGGTTAGTCAATACCAACAAACAACAACCGACTTGCTGTTCATTAGTCGTGAAAATGAAAAGGAAACTAAGATGCATGTTTGAGCTGAGCTCCATTTCTCTTTGCATTGCTGCAATAATAATTCAATAGCAGAAAGCACTTCCCATGCTTCCCTATAGGATCAGCATGTAAGGATCCGTGGGTGTGGGCAACATCTGGCCCTCCAGATGTCCTGCCCTACCATTCCCATGATCCTTCACCACTGCCTAGGCTGGCTGGGGCTCATGGAAGTTGTGGGCCAAAATAGCACGGGGGGGGGGCACCAGTTGTACACCCCGAAGTATGGGACAATGTTACACTCTCAGGCCAAACCCATTTTTCATTATGACCAGGATTTCCCCGTGGCCCTTCTTCCCCCTGAAGACGTGGGTGTTCGTGAACCCCAGCATCTGGAGAAGCACCAAAAATGCTGAGGCTAACCATTTGCCGGAGGTCAGGCTAGATGGCCCGGGAGACCCCTTCTGACTCACTCTGTTCCCATGTTTCTACTTGCCACCTGCCTGCATCCACTGCCTCGTCTCTCTTAATAGGGACAGGATGCAAGCAGCCACCCTCATCTACCTGTGTCTTGCTCCCTCTTAGCAACAAAAAGATGCTCTGTTCTGTATGTGGGGTGGGGAGGTAGAAATATACTACTTTGCTTATTAGACATGAGCTCAGTTTATTTGGATCATAAATAAAAGCTGATCTTGATGGTGTAATTACGTTTCACAACATTATCCTCCGGCATTAACCTCAGAAAGGAAAGGAAGGGGGAAAGTTAGTTGAGCTGTAATTCAGCATCAGATTGATTTACACTACAGAAACCTAAGGATAACGATGACAAACTTATTATTATTATTAATGTGAATATGTGATCATCATTACCATTATTTATTTTTTTACTTATTTCATTTTTATACCGCCCAATAGCCGAGGCTCCAATTATACCTCCCAGCCCAAATTTCATTTCCCGCGGGAGCAATTTTGAACAGTGGAGGGGGAATGGCAAATATTGAACGGCATCCATAAGATTTCTCTCACGTTCCTCTGTGTCGTCACGGTCTAGATCACATTTGCTTTCCCTCCTAGATCATGGGGATGAATTTCTGATATGGCAGGCTTTATCACTGCAGATTTATTTGAATCTCTCGCAAAGCACGCGGGGCGGGGGGGGGAACCATTTGCACCCAAATCCTCACATTGGGATGATTGCACTGGCGTCCCTGTTCCATCCCTCCCTCCATCTTTCTCCGTCCTGCTTCATCAGAAGAACACCAGCCTAATTTGCCTGAAAATGCCAGTAGTTGTCCCCTGTATAAAGGATTAGCACAGATTAAGGGGGAACGGTGTTAATTGTAGGTGGGAAAGAGCACAAAGTGACTCCTGAATTTCATCTTGATTTCCCCTGTGTATGTCTGGCTGGTAATAAGCTCCCTTTAATCTGGAAGGCCCCTTGGTGAAATCAGCACCACGGACAGCGATATTGATTGCTTTTGAGAAACCATCACAGCTGTTCACCCAAATTACCTTTGATATGTGACCTTTAATGTAATTACTGCAACATCAAAGCATTTCTATAAATTATTAAAGAACTAATATACTTCATCATCCCACCATTCTATTCTATGTAAAATATAAACAACCACCAGCAAACATGTCACTGGTCTGAATTGCCCGATGCGCAACTTGGAGAGAGTTGGCGTTGGCTCGCTCTTCCATGGGAAGAATGAAGGGGAGATGCAAAAGCGCTGTCCAAATCATTTAGCAGCACTGAATGGAAGAGAGTCGAAAAGCAACCCGACATTTGCTTTCTGTTTAACTGGCCACAGAATATCTGGCGTTCTGTCACCAACACCACTCTGAGAGGGGAAAAACCGGAGAAAGGGGGGAAGGAGGAGGAGAATAAAGAAGAAACAGCCAAAGAACTACGAAGGCTTCCTTAATTCACACATCTTCCTGACCTCAGCAATCATATCGTGACTCACCAGCTGATTTTATGCCATAAACATTGCACAGAAATATACGAAGTATACCCCCATCCCCTTCTCCAGCTCAGCCTGGAAACAGTTACAGTAGCATGTTCAGATATGGACTTCTGCGCCACACAAAACTCTGGCATAGGCAGCCAAAGCTTGCTCCCAAGTGCAGAGCCAAAAGGGAGTGCTACCACCGTTTGTTGGTTGTGATGCAAGGAGCTTAGCTTTAAAATGCCTCGATTCGGGGCTTCTGGACAAGCAGGGCAAGCTAGGACAGGGGCTTGATTGCTTACCAGGAGGAAAAGAAAACCTCGGGCCAGTCGGCTGGTGGGTGGTGCCCTCTGGAGGCTTTGGGCCTCCGCTTCATCAGCACCATCTAGAATGGCCAGCAAAGAGTCCTGGGAGCTGAACCTTCTGCACCAGGAGGCACCAGGCCAGGGGAGGCTGCCCCAGAGAAACAGGGATGCCCTTAAGATGCACCTTCTTGTCCCATTCAAAGAGCAGTCAAGTAGCCAGGTGACTGTTTGCTCTCCCTGCACTGCAGTAACCGGAGGGGGGGTGGTCAGATCATGGGAGGAGGAAGCCAGCTGGGCGTGTGGGTCCCCTTCGCACCACCCAGTCTTACTGCATGGGAACTAACACACACACACGTACCCCATGCACTGAAGAAGGTGCTTCAGGTACTAGAATCCTTGGGCAGTGAGGTGGGGTGGCATGGGGGAACGGTTTCAATATGATCTTGACTGTCCTGCCAGAAATACACAGTGTGACTTCCATATACCTTTTGTGTTTTCCTGGGCATCTCTAATGAAAAGCAATCAGTAAGATCTGTTATTTGAAACATGTTGCTGAGGTCTCAGCCTGCATTTTTTTTCCCTCTTCTGGTCCTAAAAAACAACCAACCATCTCACCGAAAGCTTTTTGGAGAGGAGAAGAGTGGAATAAGAAGAGAGGAGAGCAGAGGAGAGGAATGAATCATCCATTAGCAGCAGCAGCAGTAAAGCATTGCTGTGTCTCTCACTCACATGCAAGGGCTGCAGCTAACCAGGTAGGAGGACAAGTCATTTGAAAGGCCTCTCTGGTAGTATTTCTTGCACTCAATATATTTAAATGCATCATGCCCTTGCCCATAAAGGCTGCACAAGTGAATACAGGCCTATAAGGGCCAGGCTGTCAGCAAATTACAGGGAAAAGGAGGAAACTATGGGATGGCGGAAGGGAGCAATAGCATGTAATGCCTATAGCAAAGTTAAAGGAAGCATTGCACAAATGCACGGTATGTGACACAGGATTAATCCAGAACACCATGCTCTAAAACGAGTGAAGAAGCCAGAAAGCTGCAGAAAGAAGGGGAAATCAATGGCCGCACAACATCGTAGGGTTTTGTTGAGGAAATGACACGGGGCTGTGCTCAAAGGTTGGTGATAAAAATCATTGGTGAACACTTGCACCTTCTCACCACCTTGCCCATACCATTTTGAAAAATAACAGCCTTTTCAAGGAGCTCCTCTGAATTCCCAGCCAAAGCAAAGCAAAATCAACTGGCAAATGCAAATTTCTAATTTGGAGGAAAAGTACCAACAGATGAGAGATCCCTGGTCAGCCCCATCCTCAAATGCTGCTAGAGAAGATTATGACATGGACCCTTAGGCTGCAATCCTATGCATATTTACCCGGGGAGGAGTCCCATTCAACATAGTGGGATTTACTGCTGGGGAAATATATACATGTTTGTTGAACATCTCTGTCTCATTCTCTCTCTCTCTCTCACACACACATACTGATAATCCCTTCCAGAGATTGGCTGACCCTGTTCATCCTTGCCATTCCAACAGAACACCTTCCTTTGTATGAAGTAAACTCTACTTTTCCCGACGCGTCTTGTCTCCCAGTCTCTCCTTTCCCTCCTAGATCTCAGTCTCCTTGCATTTCTGTCTCCCTAATCCATTCAGAACACGGGAAGCAAGATCACCATTCACATTCGTCATAGGACGCTTTGCCTGGGAACTCAATATCTGATTGGCATTCTGATCGCAACTTCTTTGGTAATGGAGAGAACACCACCTTGCCTGGTTTTTTGTTTTGTCTTCCTGAACACCTTGTTCCTGTCACCACTCAGAGACATCGAGTTTCTGAAAGTCTTACAAAACATAGCCAGCAAGCTCTGGCCCCAGGGCAGCTCACTTTGGCATCTGCTTCCTGGCGCTTCAAAGCAATGAAAAGCAGGGAAGGCACAGAGTTTCAGAAGTGAAATAAAGGTGCACCATCTCCATGTCTCCAACGTAAGCCATTCTTTCCCAAAGCAACTCCTCAGCCATCACCTCTATTGCCGTTGTCCAAACAGACGCACAACATTTTGAAGCTGCATGGATCAAAAGAGCAGTCTGGACTCACCCCTGGCAGCGTCTTCTGTTCGTGCAGCGCACTCTGGGCCTTAAGAGCAGACTCCCTTTCGCAGTATGTGAGGAAGGCGCAGCCTGTGGGACAGAAGCAGAAGGCAACAATTTTGAACTCGCTGAGCATCCCATGGGTGCCGCGGCCAGCCCAGGAAGCCTCCAAGCAGGGCTCACCTGCCAGTGTCCTTCACTAGCTGGTACCCAGAGACGTAACACCACTGCTTATGGAGGTTCTGGTTCACTTTTGATGCTCATAGCTCAGCCCAGTCCTCTTTGCAGCCAGAGCTGCCTTTCCCCAAGCAGCACAAAGGCCCAAGACCACAATATGACGTCAAAGGAATGCCTGGCTTATCGGTGTCTGACATGAATAAGAGGCAGGTTGAGATGCAGACAATGCACCAGCCAAGCCCGGCATAACATGCTGGCATCCAGAGATGCTCATGGAGATGGTGAAGTGTGCCTCAAAAATCCAAGCCACCTTGAGCGCTGTGGCTGTGCAGACCACCACCACAAGGAGGTGCCATGCGGTGGCTGATTTAAGGCAGAGGTGGATGTGCTGGAGTTGCCAGCTCATGACGGAGAAGACAAACATCAGGGAACACCACAGTCAGGGACACGGCCATGGTATGCCATATCTACTCCCAAGTTGTAGCATGGAGGCTTAAGGAGATGCACATTCTCAGATTTGAGGCAGCCATGGAACCAACTGTGTCCTTACAATATTATTTTTGGAACATTATTATATGGGTAACTCAGATCTTTCATTTCTCCCAAGCTTATCATGGGAATTTGATACGGAGATCTTTCATGGCAGTCAGACTTCCCGAATGTCAACACCGTTCCTCACTCTTTGTCTTAAAGTAAAGCAGACGGTAGTGGTTTGGAAAGTTAGTTTTTGCTCGAGACATGAGGAAGCATTCCCTGTCCAAAGCTCTAAGCACAAGCACAAGTGTGCACCCAAATTATTGACTGCATGCTTAGATCCATCTCATGCACAATGTGCAGTTCAGTTCGCTCAAATTTTCTCCAGAGACTGGGTCTCTTGAGCCTATGGAGAAACATCACACACTTTGGGAAATTGTGGGATTTTGCAGAGAACTGTGGAAGTTTCTCATTTGTGCAGAGCAAGCAGCAAGTGCAAATGCTGACGGGAATCAGGCCAGGGATGAGTGGGGAGGCCATATTCAGAGAATTCAAACCTTCTCAAACATTGTTCACTTGCCCGCCTAATTGCCAGTTTCCTGCTGCATTTCTGTGCCCCAAAATTTCATCGGTCAATTCTGGGGAAAGAGTAGTCCCCACTAGCTTCTAGTTTCTGGAGATTGTCTTCTGGACCAGTGGAAATTGCCTGCCCTGACACTGCACCTTAAATTATGGTTTCAAGAGAGGAAGTGAATATATGTTAGGAAACCAGAGTGTAAACAGTGGAATGAATAACACTTTGGTGGGCCACACTGCCTCTCTCTATCAGTAAAAGAAGGCAGTGTTACCAATAAATACATTCTGAACATTAATAAATAGCAAATACATGGCCCTTTGTTAAGTCCACATGATTTGTTGAGGTCAGGTTGCCTTGGTCCAGGACTTGACTTACGTCACTGCAGTTTTGACATATTTCCTCTACTGCAGACTTGAGCATACGTCAGTGCAGAAATTTAACTGAGTTTATTACTTTTCCAAAGTACAGATTGCAGAGTGCCATGCCTAAGGGTGATGGGGCCACCGCAGCGGCGATTTCCTCTGTCTGCGGATCTGGATGGTACATTCTGAATGGCAAGAAGAAGGGAAGCAAAGCTAATGACTTCAGAATGGTCCTTAAAAGAACAGTCTCTTGGTAATCAAAGGGGAAGCTATGCTTAAAATTTAATTTCAGTGCTAAATCATGTGCTGAGTGCTCTCTGCTGACCAAACAATGAGAAGATACTCTGCCACCAGTAGCAAACTTGGAGTAGTTGATACAGTCTAATTAGGCTGATCATAGCACACCATTGGAGAGATAAACTACAGAGTGCAAAGCTCCTGTAACGGTAGCTATATATTTCCTCTCCTGGTGATGGCCCCGTGACAGCTCGGCTGAGAGTAATGAAGTTCTGCAGCGCTTCCCTCACTGTGGTCATAATTCAGATGCTGCAGGTGGCAAACTCCTCCTTTTCTTATAAAAACAGCATCTCCCTTCTGAGAGCCATTCGGAGCAGGTTGAGTTATGGGGAGGGAGGAGACAGAATGAAATTCTTCCCCTCGAACTGGGGCTCCGCTGACAAAGAGCTCCCCAGTCCCCTGTATGCACAAAAGGAGTATATTGGTGTGATTAGGGATGCCCAGACCTGGGGGCGGTTGACGGAGGGCTGCTCAATTTGGAATGAGGATCTTTAACACAGAAACAGAGAGACAGAGCAAGTCAGAAGGGGCCTCATGGGCCATCTAGTCTGACCCCCAGCTCCAGCTGGTTCCACTTATGATATGCCCACCATGTGCATGCCCAGCCTGTTCTTGAACACTGTCACCACTGGGGCTTCAGCCACCTCCCGTGGAAGCCCATTCCATACCCTACTGTCAGGAAGGACTCAGATTCTCTCCAGATTCTCCAAGAGGCAGTAGCACCACAAAAAGGAAGCCAGAGACCTCCCAGTCACCAGAAGGGGCAGGAGAGCACAGACCCATGTAAAACTGGGGCAGATTTTCTAACAGCCAGGTGAGCGGAGCATGCCCCTCCTTTTCCCCATCATCCAGGGCCTGCAACTCCAAGATGTACATGGGACACACAGTCAGCGACACTACCTCTATTTTATCTCAGGCAGCAGCACAAGTGAGGCAGCACCTGCTTGCTTATAGCTTGATTTGGTGGTTGTCCAGTTTTTCCACCCAGGAAATTACTCTCAGGGAGTCTGATCCTAACAAAGCAAGATCAAGATAGCACCATTGAGTGGTTGGGGCTTGAATGTTGGGCTGAGATGCAGGAGACCCAGGGTCTGCTGCATCCCTTCAACCATGAAGATGTCCGAATGACTTGGGGTGGTCCCCAACTTTCGGGCAAAGCTCCCTCACAGGGTGGTTGTGAAGAGAAACCAGATGGGAGAAGAACCAAGTGCTCTGCATTGAGTTCCATGCAAGAGTTGCCACTGCCTGGGCTGCTGTGCGGCAAGGTCAGCCCTAACCTCCCCACCAGGCCGGCCTGGAGGCGTCTCATGGGGGGTGGAAGAAGCACAGAGATGAAGGGCGGCTCTGCACAGCTCCTTCCCCACAAAGCAGCGAGATGGCCAGCGCTTTGTGGGGGAGGCTGAAGTGCTGCCAGGATGCACCCGATCATGGTGATGGTGGCCTCCCCTCCTCACGCCCCCCAGAAGGCCCACTAAACTGGGGCTGGGATGACCCCTGCCGGGAGCTGTCCCTTTCAGCATTCCCGGCCCTCCTCTTGTGCTCAGCCTGGTCTTCTGAACAAAGAGGGCCTCTGCAAACGCTCACAGACTCCAGGCTGTGCAACCAGCAGCCTTCTCCTGAGCAGGGCCCCCTTCCTGGAGAGCACCCCAGAAGCACTGGGCCTGCTCACCAGGGACTTGGGCTACAGGCCACTGTGAAGCTGAGCCCAGGGAAGCAGATAGATTTCCACCCCCAGTCAGATCGCTCACACATCCCTACCCTAAGCCCCTTCTGCTAGTAGCTTTTGATTCCTCGGAGAAGCACCTGGCGTGTTTGTTCCTGGAATGGCTTCAAGGGGACAAGGAGAGGACATGCTGAGTATGAGTGATCTATCATCTCATCTTATCTTCATTCTGGAAGTGATTGGCATTAAAAGTTGAAAGGAGAAGGGGCTGCCCCAGCACCTGTAGGCTTGGCACCATCACGAAAGACACTGGGATGGACGTGGTGGCCATGAAGCAAGCAGTGAGAGACCAAGAGCCATGGAGAGCGATGATCCACGGAGTGGCCAAGGGTCGGACACAACTGAATGGCTATCAATGATGATGACTTTATTTTAGTGTTTTTATCACTTTATCAGTGGCTGAAGCTCTCTTGGTGGTTTGCAAAACACATTAAAACAAAGAAACAAAGCAAAAACCCCATTGTATTATTAAAAGTTTAGAATACAAAATGAAAGACCACATAAAACAGGTTTATGTATTGATTTTGAACCTCAGAGCTGGGAATCCAAAATATCCTCTGGCCCTCTAGGACCGGAGGATTACCGTGCTGAAGATATTTTTAATACATTAAAAAGTATATGTTGAATACTACTGTTACTACTACTAAACATACATACAGAGGAATGACAAATAGACTCAAAACACAACTGAAAAAACAACAACAAAAGTGATTAAAACAGACCACAGACCACTAGAAAGTCAGCAGCAGAGCAACTGCCCAAGTCCTGCTTGAATGAAAACATTTTGTCCACCAACTGAAGCAGAGGGGCAAGGGCCAGGGTGGGGGTGACACACCCCTTTTTTGGCAGGTTTTCCCAGAGCCTGTTGGTAGGGATATATAAAAACTTCACTTTTATTCTGAATTTTTTTTTTCAATTTTCCATTTGGGTTTGAATATGCACATTCGTACCTTCGCAATCTCCTGCAAAATCCCACAGTTTCATCCAGTGTGGAAACACAGTAAGGTGAAATGCTCTTCCAGGAAGGATTCAGAGGACTTTGGAAAACTCAGTGATGCCAGACTTGCCCACCCCTTCATGGGAGAATCTGTTGAAAAGGCCCTCCCATGCATGCCCCGCCACCGTGTCTCCATGGACACGGGGCAGAGGACAAGGACTCTGGAGAAGACCTCAAAACCCAGCAGTTGTGTCCATGTCACACATCACTGCATAGACACAAATCCCCCAGCAGGACTGTGATGTTCCCAAGTAAGAGGAACTTGCCCATTTAACCAGGGAAACTTCTCTTTTGGTGTCTCTGCAAAGCTCATGCTCTGTAGAACGAGTCATATTGGGCCAGGTCGGCTGTAGGGGACTTGTTGCAATCCAGTTGTGCTGGACTACAGCTCCCATGAGCTGAAGGCTGCATACCCAGTGGTAGTCATGGGCCATCTTGGAGCATTGACAGTGGCCCACTTCTGATGTGGCATGGAGATGTTCA